AAAAAAAAAACATTTTTATACTCTTTAAAACTTACTTAGAACCTCTTTTCAAATAACATGATGGATCTTGAAAATAAAACGCTGGGAATCCTTATCCGTTAAATTTTCTATTTATATGTACTCACAGCCTGGCGTAGGTCCGTTTTCGTACCATCTTTACGAAATGCACCGTACGGTCGTGGTTTTACGGTACTTCGGGGCGCTGTTACCTTTTTACTACGTCGTTCTAGAAATACGGTCTACTGCGACTAGTAGTGCTAGTAGAGCGGTAACGATATCGCCCCAGACCCCCGATTTCGAGGAGCGTAAGTACCCCAGAATCGGGGGTAGTGGTGCGACAAGTAAAGCGAGGCGAGGATTTGTAAGATTTGATGAAAGTTATCGAAGTGACTATAAATAAAATCATTCATAACATATAGACCGTTCTTGATAACTTTTCATAGAGAAAAGCATATAAAACAAACAAGTATCGACGTTACAGAATTTAAATAATAGAACGAGTCACTCGAAGTTATCCATAATATAAATGCGACCTTCTGGTTATAAGTAAAATAAACCATCACACAGAAGTCACCCCGTGTGATATAAACCTAATAGAATCTCGGGCAGGGGAGCAAGAACCAGGCTTATATATCATAAAACGATACAGTGCAGCTTTATAGTTCATAGTTAAACCCTCCTCCACGTGTGTTGGTATGTGATTGAACGAAGATTTTAAAGGAGGGGTAGGTATAGGGTCTTTACGAGTGCTATCAGAAACTGGTTTGTTAAAAAGGCACAACTTAGATAGTCTCGTTCTAGAATTCGTTATCGATACAGCGAATAGACAGGAAAGTTACACGTCGTACTCGTGACGATTATCTATTTATTTTCTTTTGTCCCCTTATAACAGAATTCCACCAAAGAATCTCGCCGAATGGTCTACTGGATTAAATATTTCGATTGGATATAGAACTTTAGTTGATTTCCTTGACTGCCGATATAAGTTAACGGACGATAAAAAAGCTCCAACGTTTTACGAAAAGTAACGATCGCAACGTCGAAGCGACGCACGGAGATATTTCTAATCGTAATGCCGGAGGCGAGGAGTCAATGTGGAGCAGGCAATTCTCGTAATGAAAGTATGATTGATGATGTGTTCGGCGGGCATCATTAGTCCGACAGAGTACGATCCGGAGTGTAGAGAGCGGATGTTATGGCAGGATAGAGCGTGGGGAGGAGATATGTCCTCCTCACCTTAGCCACATTATATATTAATGTGATCTCAAGATAGTAGGAACGCGAGCAATTTCAAATCAGTCGGATAAAAATGTAATTGTATTCAGCGAGTCGCGAGAGTCTATTCAAATTAGTAACAATAAATTAAAATATTTGACTCGTGTGGAGGACGCCGCGATACGATTGTTGAAGTAAGCTTGTGACAATTCGAGTCCTACCCAGTTCTGTCAGCAGGTACGTCCCACGAATATTAGAAAATGATCGTCAGGATGATCGGGATTTTATTTGAGAAATTCTAATAAGGAATCATTCTACTTTGCTTCAATGATATCATCTAGTAAGATGATTGATATAAATAATGGGGTAATTAAACTGACGACGAAATTAAGGGTAATTAAAAAATTCTTTATTAAATATATATTGCTATCTTTTTTTTTTATCAGATTCATCCTGTTGTTGATGTCTGAAAATAATTTGATTACGAATTCATATTGTAGGATGGAAATGATATTCAGGAGCTGGGATTACTGGGGTTGCACGTATGTGGAAGAGTATTAATTTGTGTTACTAACAAAGTTTGAACGAAAACGCAAAAGAGGGTTTTCGAGAATTTTCTCTAATGTATGACGTGTGGTTGGTAGGTGTCAGACAACAGTATATGTATGTAGAAACAGAGGCAAAGCCTACAGGAACCGATACAGAAGTGAAAAGAGGAAAGTGCAAGGAGAGTAAAGAGGAAAAAGGCCGGGATGTCCCTGATCAGGATTGACTTCGGGATGATAATCTGGCGGACATGGGTTTCCACTTTACCCAGCGCCAATGTCGTCCTTGTCCTCCTCCCCGTCTACCTCGCACGCTCTCTAGGCACTATGCTAGGTAAATTTAGGCTGGTGAATTTTGTTGATTCGTCCAGCAGCCGCGTCCAATAATTGATAGTCAGCGACATACATAGAACTACAGGTGAATACCTTCAACGGTGGTAACGAGCGGCAAATGGTATAGTGTTTCAAAAAAATGTATCAAGTTGTCAATTAAATTGAGACTTTGAATATTTCAGATGTGACACCTGGGTAAAAATGTTAGATACTGGAAGGATCACCGATTGATCATTTCACATGATCCATATAAGATCCCACACAGGTACGTCTAGTAAGATTGTCAGGTACTTCAATTTACTTACACAAGTTGCAGGGTTAAGATACTGAACGTTCAGAAAATGTAATGGTTAAAGATCAGCAATAACCAGAAGGCCTTTGAGCAATTCTCGGGCTACCAAAGTAAAACCACATTCGGAAAACAGTAGGAAACGGCTAAATCGTCCCTAAAGCCCAGTTTCGGTAAAACAAACAACCCGTAACTCAGTGAGTGTTTATGAGAGAGAGGCTGGTGGTTAAGGGTGCCAGTAGTTTTGGAGGAAGAGGCCAGTCGTAAAAGTACGCGAATCGTACTGTGTCTTGGGCTGTTGGGTCGGACCACCCCTAGCTCTTTCGGACTCCTTTGAGTTTTCCTAAGAGCCATAGTTTTCCCAGAGAGAAAAGGGTACCCCGTCAAAGAGAGAGAGAGAGAGAGAGACGAAGACCAAGGGTGAGTCCGAGAATACTGGGGAGAGAATAAGAGAGGAGTCCTCCATCCCTGGAGCGGGCCGCATGTTCCAGGATCGTAAAACTCGGTCTGATCACCGCTACCAATTATCCCACCGTTATCCAGGCGTTATCCGGACGTTATCCGGACGTTATCCACCTCTTCTAACCTCCCCTTACCTCCCGTTCCTCCCGCTGCCCTTCACTCCGAAACCCTTGAAACCCTCCTAGAGAGGTCTTTCCCGTTCGTCCCCTTCCTACGTCCCTTGTTGTCGCCTTTTACTGCAAACGAAGTGATTCCCGTCCCGTAAACGCGACGTCTTTAAAGATTACGAGTGCGTAACCGCATCCCGTCCCACGGGGCGAACCTTGAAAGTCAACTAACATCAAAACCCACCCTCTCTCTACCTTTAGTCGGTTCACGAGTTCAATGTGTTTTTTTTTGACAGTTCCCAAACAAAGCAACCCTTAGTAAATCACACGCAGCTTTCCATAATATGTATTATAGGGATATATGCTAAAGTAGAAAAATATAACGTATTTCAGTGTATAACCATGGACGTTCAGACTTTGTAACAAGTGCAGAGGCAGGTATGATTTTACGCAGGGTTGCATTGTTTGCGAACTGTCAAAAATATATATTGGACTTGTTGACAGACTCGACGATATCAATGGAATTTCAAAATGAGAGACACTCACGAATGGACTAATCTCATCTGTTGTTAATTTCTCGCAAATCGTGCGTCACCCTCGCTATAGAAGTAAAGGGTTGCAAGAAGGTCAGGATTAACAAGCGAGGAAAAGCCTTTCAATTTTCAAAGCTCGCAAAATTGGATTGTCGAAGCGCCGCAATGAAGGGTTAAGCGTCGTGACGAACTGCTGTCGCGGTAAAATTGCGATTGTTTTATTCGACATGGAAGGGCCGGAAGGACGGATGAGATTAGCACATTATTTCGTTTATACGTCAAGCGTTCTCGACTAATTGACTAATTGGCTAGAAGAAATCACGAGTATCAGGGAAAAATTGTATTTGGCATTTGAAGGACGGCGAGTAAACGAGTAAATGAATGGCCCATCGGGTCTCGGTAAAATTCGCAAATTTTATGCGAGCTTCCAATCTCCAGCTGCGAATTCAACTATGAATGTCACTTTGGGTTGGCGATCAGTTTCTTTTATCGGTAATACTATTGAACTTCGCTAATTCGACATTCGATATAGACGTTAATTGTGTGCTCGGAGAAGCTCGAGTTATTAAATAAATCACGACTAATCGTATTTTCGAATTCCCCTGGCAGTTAATACCCGACGTCAGGAATAAAGATGCATAAGACTTAAGGTGATGGGTTTCAATTTATTGAAAATTAATCAGATATTTGACGCGATAATTGTCCCTAATAGAATTCGCGCGATTCTTACATTCATTATTCAGTACAGAATTATGTCACTTACTTACTTGGTCAATTAACATTTCATAAGATGTTCGAGACAATCGCCTGTGTTTCGGATCATTATTAAATCTAGTCATTTACCGTATACGGCGAGGGCGCCAAAATAAACGTAAGTATTTATTATATTCGTCTAAGAATGGACAATAAGTATCTATCGAGTAAAATAATTCTAAAATTATACTTTGTCGAGCTTCTTTTATAATTTTCTCTTACTTCCAATAAAACTGCCATACTATATCATTATTGCAATTAAAAAAAAAGAGTTTGAAAAACTCTAGCAACATAAGCCATAAAAAATTATTTAAACTGCACATTAAAACATACAGAAATCTTTAACTAGATTCAAATAACATCTAACAAATAATAGTCACCATGAGTAAATGCTTATAATAGTTATTACGAAATAACAACTAAACCTTCCATAAAGGTAGCATACAAAAACTATCCTATGAGTATAAGCCTGAATAAATGCGTCTGAATCATCGTTAGCTTCAAGTGTCGTAGGATCATACAAGTATCGTACAAATAAAAAAAAAATAAAAAAAGAGAATAAGAAGAAGTCGACCATCCCATATCAGCACACCTACGCTAACCTACATCAGGCTATAAGGATCATAATCGTAAGTGTTACGATAAGGCGCGTACACGTATCCCTGATGTCCACCGTGTTGCGATAACGCATTGTAATGATTTTGCGTGTGAATATCATGTGAGTGTGCGTAGGTGTCTGTTGACAGAACTGGGCTCGACTTACCGGCTCTATTGCTCTGGTCGATCATAGGTTGAACAATTCTACGTCTCGCATTGATAAACCTGAAACAAAAATAACAATGAAAATGATATTGACTGCGTACAAAATCCAATTGGTTGATGTAACAATAATAATAGGAAACATGTTGTCCGTTAAAGCAGGGGGTATCCAGTGATCAGCAATGACGCGTATCAAAGCATCATTAGGAGATCGGCTTTTGAACTCATTTCCTGAGAAATCCATGGAACAGTGGTAAGAACAACGTCCGGGCTACATCATTAGCCCGTTGAAGGAGCTTCCGAGCGAGCGCTTCCCAAACAATAGATTTGCGGTGTGTTTCGGGGTTAGAGGATGTCTGAGGGATGGAAGCGGAGTAGAGAGGAGGGAGCAGCTTCCTATATCTGTAGAATAGGAAGGATGATGGTTTCTTGGGAAGAGGATGGAAGAGGTCGGGTTGGCGGGGGGGGAGGGGGAGGAGGGGGACGATGAGGTGAGACGGGAAGACTGGCTGTATAGGGAGTGAGAAGGAGGGGAGACGTACGTCAGCCGACGTCAGCGTCGCGGCACCCTAATGGGCGCAGACGCCGGAAGTGATTGGGTTTCTGCTCGACTGAGTCGGGCACCCCCAGTGGGTGGGCATGAGGGTGCAGGAGGATTGGAGGACCAGGGGGGAAGGGGAGGTGGTAGGATACGCAACGCGAAGGCAGCAACCCCCTTGTTTTGCAGCACATCTTTCTTGCTTAGTCTCACGCCTGGCCGACTCCCAAGAGAGTCTTATGAATAATAATTATTAAACTCTCGCCTATGTATAGTATTATAGTCGTGGCAAAGCCGTTCCGCGAGTTGTAAGTCAGAGATCTTGTCTAACGGCCTGGTAAGAAACTTCGCGTCCGATTAAAACCGATGAGAGCGCGAAGCGTGATCTACCTAAATAGGTAGAACCAGGGGGTCACAGTTACCACTAATAATAAGCGCAAGACTACAGTTTCTTAAAATCTATGCAGGAAAACGAATGAAGTATAGCATCGCACGTGGATATACAACACTGTGTAGAATATCATCCCGAGTGTCACTGGCAGCCTGGGAAACGATGAGATTTAATCGTTTCGTTATTCCGCAGGACGTAAAACGCGTATGCGGGATAATCAGGGGACAAAAAGGCAATTCCGGATAACCGGCCGTACGTTTGAACTTTACCTATCTCACGTTATCGTGCGTTCTCCATGCATGCTTCTATGTGACTTCCTGTAGGAAGTGCGCAATGCCGGACCTATAGTCAGGTACAAAGGGTTGGAAGTATAGGACGTATTTGGTCGATGAGAGTGTACGGTATAGCTGGACTTCTCAAAGTCAAGGCCTGGGATATCGTTAGATGAAAGAGTATCCCACGCAGAACTCCCTTCTCCAGTCGCTGTGCTTCTAAGCGCTTCTGGTTCCCCTTTGGCGGCGTAGGCGGCATGTCACAGCCAGCTGACTCCAGCCCCCTGGCAGCCAACCCCGTGGCTGAAATATCGCCCGAACAATGGCGCGCCATCCTTCCACCCCTCTGGAGGAGCCGGGGCGACTGCCCAACCCCGAAAAGCCCCAACGGCACAGCTAGCGAAAAGCAGCAAAAATATCGTCGCTTCCCGGAAAACTTAACCCGCGAACCCAATGCGATAAAATTTTACAGTCGAAATAACTCGCCTTTACCCGGTGCGATCGAGAGAGCTTTCTTCCTTGGCTGTCCTCTTACCGTGCTGTCTTCTACTGTCCTATCTATAGGTGTGTACATTGACGTGTATATGGATCTCATTATATACTGGATATGGAATATATCTACTAACGCTGTGTTTATGGTACCATGTAAAATTGATATCTAGTAAGTTTTAAAAAAAAGTGCTAATTTACATGGCTGAACATATCGTTGAGGGTTAAATGTATATATATAAACGCTAACCTTTTTTTCTCATTTAATACATATTTAGAAGAGAATTTTTAGTAGAACTTTTAATAAAAGTTTTATGGAATTATTGAAAAGTAATGGAGTACGTATACTACTACTTTATACCATGACGTAACGAGATTCGAACAAGGTGAACATATTGTTCTATGAAGCAGCTTACGGCTTCACCCCAAATGACAAAACACTTTTCATCGCGCCCTCACCGTGATTCAGGCTTTCAGCGTTTTAATGCAGTTTTGATTATGAGAGCCCGCGAACACAGTTGCGCGTCTATCTAGACTCAATAGAACACAAACACCATCGAACGGTTCTCTATCTTTCTCTTTCTACGGAATTTTCACGCAAATGAAAAAATTGACCTGCTTCGTCATCGCCAGGCTTTACGCTTCGAGCAGCATGAACTATGTTTTTTACAGTTTTACCAAACTACGAATTAAAGATTTAACTGATGCCGCGAGAGAATCCACTGGCTCAATTGATCTTACCTGAATTCATGTCTACTGTCTATAATTTATGGGGGAAATTCTCGACGATGAACAGACTCCATTATAAGGGAGGTGATAATGCTCATTACTTTTATGGGAAGCAGGAGAGACGCGAGCATATGACGGTTCTTTAGGAGAAAAAAATATATATAAAACATAACGTTACGCTAGGGTGTCCCCTGCATGACCTCCCATACCATGACTAAATTTAGTACACTCCACTTGCATATATGAATAATGCCTGAATTTGCTTATACGGTATCCTGTTCCTTATCTCGTCAAAGCTATATTGTAGGTATACAACACGATGGAACGTAACGAAAGTAATGTAGAAAATATGAAGAAAAAAAGTATTAAAGATTTTTTTTTAAATTTCCCTTTCGAATTACTTAATTTCGTTAGCCTATAGATTTACCTGTCCCAGAACACGTTTCTGCTCATAACTTTTTGACATTCAGAAATTTCGTCTGTAACGATGATTACCGGCGTATACGCACGCGGTAACATTTACTCCGCGACCATTCGTAATTATCGGAGAGCGTCCATTAGTTAACTGCAGTCGATACACCTCGCACCGGGCTTCGCATCAAAGCGTCATTACTATCGGAATACAGGAGCAAGCTCGTAGGCACTATTGGTAATCAATTTCACTGTAGAGCCAGCAGCAAGCTTGCTAATGCGAAGGGTTGCGCATTAGGGAATGAAAACGGTTATATAACGAGTGTCATATTAGAAAATGAATTAGAATTATAAAATAAAATAATAAATACAAATGATTTCTAAGTAATCGACATCTTTACACATACTCCGATAATAAATGTAAAATAAGATACCCTGCGACCGCCCGAGTGCTGTGTACGCCTGTGTATAAATTACGTTTGACAAATTCAATGAACATTAAGAATGTATTCACGATCCCTGATGGCTTAGATAATAATTCCTCGTTCGTCACCCTAAATCGTCCGATGATATGTATAAATATATTTCAAGTAAATACAGTTTTACCCCAGAACGATTGAAGCGTTCGATAAAGGGAGAAAATAGTTTTCCCACGTTACTTCTTTCGTTTTTCTCAGTGAATGCGTCGTCAGAGATATTGAATTTTTACCACGGGTTCTACTGATTTAGCTATATATACAGGACGTATAGCCGCAGTATCGGATGTGTCGGAAGCAACGAAGCAAACGGGGCCAGCGATGGGGATGTAATCGCATAGATCGGATACGCGTAGACAGGTTATGTGTGTCAACAAAGCAATTTAACACGCGACGTGTCACTGATAGTCCGAACTGCACGTAGCCACGGCCGCCCGGCTGCATTTAATCTATGACACCCGAACGCTTTTTCGGAAAATTCCTCCGGAATTTATATAATTGTTTTGCTGGGGGGAGGGAGGGAAGCCGACACTAAATTTCCCGTAGCGCGATAGCACCAGCACAACGTTGCCCGTGAGCATCGACTAGCAACGATGTTGATGACCGCATTAGCGTTTGTGGCCATAAAAGGATTAGAAAAAAAATCTGTTGCGATCAATGCCCCTTCCATGTCGCTATAGTACCTACGATTGGTACGTTTACCGTGACTATAGTATATAGTAGCAATTACGATCTTGCGAAACATATAAAATTAGGAACTGTCGCCAATGCGAATGATAGAAACTATAGCCCTGATGCTATCGAGGTCGTTGCTTAATACAGTGCAATTAAGGTAACACGTGCATAACCAGGTTCACACATGCCGCGTGATGAATGAGACTGGGAAATTATGATTAGTGGATGTTGCTCGCGTTACATTACGCAACCCTTGTACCCTTCTCCAGAATGAAAGGCCGAGAGAGAGGGGCTGCGCGGAATGGCGACGGCAACGACAGTGGTATAGCATAGCAGCAGGCTGCCGTGACTATTATCAACTAATTCCGCAACTCGGCACTACAATATCATACGTAATAGACAAGCTTGCCTGTTGTCGCCATTCGGACGAACCCCTAGGCCGACCTCGAGGCCACCGTCGCCGTACCGTTGCTGCTCGCTTCGAGAGGAAGTTATTGGGTCCGCAGCTGTCGCCTACTCGACCGAGTTGATTGTCACCGGCTACCTCTTCGCCGGGGTCAGACTCATCGTCGGACGAGGGTGATACCCCGGGTGCTCTGGATACCACTCTCTCTCTCTCTCTCTCTCTCGTTCTCTCTCTCTCTCTCTCTCTCTCTCTCTCTCTCTCTCTCTCTCTCTCTCTCTCTCTCTCTCTCTCTCTCTCTCTCTCTCTCTCTCTCTCTCTCTCTCTCTCTCTCTCTCTCTCTCTCTCTCTCTCTCTCTCTCTCTCTCTCTCTCTCTCTCTCTCTCTCTCTCTCTCTCTCTCTCTCTCTCTCTCTCTCTCTCTCTCTCTCTCTCTCTCTCTCTCTCTCTCTCTCTCTCTCTCTCTCTCTCTCTCTCTCTCTCTCTCTCTCTCTCTCTCTCTCTCGTTCTCTATTATATAGCAACCCTGTACCCTAACGCCCTACCACGACGCTGAACGAAGGCGTCAGCTTGTAACAGTCTCTTAAACTCCAGCTTGCACTATATGTACCAACTGCTGACGCCGTTATAAAGTACCACCCGGGCCAGACACCCTCTAACACTTCGTGCCACTGTCGCGA